TGTAACAAAAAAAAAATAGTATTTTAATCCATGTGAGTACAGCATATTGACCCTAATATCCAGAGGGAAATCTTAAGTTCTAATTATGTAATAATATTCTCCTAATTCTCCAAACGTATAAAATTTCATAGCTAAAAACAAGTATTTCAGTCTCAGAGAACAGATTCCAATTCCGTGATCTCAGTACAGATAGCAAGCTAAATTACTAGTAAATGAAACCCAATGCCATACAAGTTGAACTATGAAAACAAATCACTAGGGAAATGTAAATCAAAACCACAATGAGATACCACCTCACACCCATTAGGATGGCGACTATCAAGAAAAGCAGAAAATAACCAGTGTTGGTGAGTATGTGGAGAAAGTGGAACCCTTGGGCACTGTTGGTGGGGATGTAAAATGGTGCAGCCGCTGTGGAAAATGGCATGGCAAGTCCTCAAAAAAGTAAACGCAGAAGTACCATATGATCCAGCGTTTCCAGTGCTGGGTATAAACCCCAAAGGAAGTGAAAGCCGTGCCTCAAACAGATACTTACACACCCGCTGATAGCAGCTTCATTGACGGTAGCTAAAAAGTGGAGGCAGCCCAAGTGTCCATTGATGGATGGATGGATAAGCTAAATGTGGTCTGTACATATAATGGAGTCCTTTTCAGCCTTAAAAAAGGGAACAAAGTCTGGCACGTACCACAACATGGATGAAACCTTGAGAACATTATGCTGAGGGAAATAAGCCAGTCACAAAAGGACAAATATTGTGTGATTCCATTTATATGAGGAACCCAAAGTGGGGAGTCTGACATAGAAAGTACAGGGGTGGTTGTCGGGTGAGGGGAAGAGGAAACGGGGAGTTCGTGTTTTATGGGGACAGCTTCAGTTCTGCAAGATGAAAAGAGGTCGAAGGATGATGGTGGTGACGGCTGCATAGTAGGAACGTACTATACATACCACTGAAGCATACGCCTAAAAATGGTTAAGGCAGTCACTTTGTTATGCGTGTTTTAGACAATAAAAAACTGGAAGAAGGGCCGGCCGAGTGGCGCGATGGTTAAGAACTGGCTTGGGATGCCAGAGGGCCCCGGTTCGGATCCCACATATGAGGGCCAGTGACACTGCCCTCTACAGCTAAGATGCTGAACAACAGCTCAACCTGGAGCTGGGCTGCTGAGAATCGCCTGCGACGGCATAGGCTGTAGCCTCTGTGGCAGTGGGTTGCCATGGGCTACCGTGTGTAGCCAGCAGCCAGTGTGAGCGGCCGTCCAGAAGCCGGCGACTGATCTGCCTCGCCCGGGAAGAGCGCAATGATGGTGCCAACTTGGGCCAGTGAAGCAACGTCCTCCACAACTAGACTGAAGAACAAAAGGACAGCAACTTGTCTGTTCCCATCCCCCAAATTCCCCAATAAAAATCTTTAAAAAAAACTGGAAGAAGATAAGCGGATACTGGTATGGTGTCAGTGAACGCTAATAATTTTTAAAGCAAGCAACTACATGGGATGTGGTATCCTGAAGTGCCTCCCAGAACAGGAAAAGTTCATTAATGAGACAACAGGTCAACAGTCAGTAGTGTACTGAATACTGATGTACCGGTGTTAATGTCTTACTTGTGACAGATACACCATGACTATGTAACGAGTTAACATTAGGGGAACTAGGGAAAAGGTATACAGGAACTGTCTGTATCATCTTTGCAAGATTTCTCTAAATCTAACATCATTCCAAAATAAGTGTATTTTAAAGTGAGTTTTAAAAAGCGAGAACTAAAAAGAGAATGAATGCCACCACAGAAGGCATAGATGACACAAATATATTAGAAGTGACAAAGCGAGCAGGAAAATGTGAATGCCTATAGAGACCTACAGTAGATGTGAAAGTTAAATTTGTATTGTATTGTTCACTGTTGCCTAGCTGTTGGCTCAGCGTCCTCTGATTGCAAAAAGGGAAGCTGTTGCGTTTTATACTGCAGTAATATTTCCTTAATGATTCTGGGTGCATTTTTACATTTAGGTCACAAGCAAATGTTTCTGATTATGGATACAGTGTGAACTTCCGTCTGCCAATTCATGGTTTTTGGTGTTTTTTTTTAATCTTTGGTTTTAAGTTTGCGAAGGTCCTGTTTTGAGTCAATTTTGAGCTCAGGGGACTCCTAGGCAGTACCACTCAGACCACATAGCCCCGACGCAGTGCACTGGATTTGGGGGTACGCAGGCACCTGCACAAACGGGGTAGGTCCCCTTTGCCACTGGAAGCCCACGTTGACTGTGCTGCAGTGAGAGAAAAAAGATCCCGAAACACTTCATCAGTAACCAAGTGGTTGGGAAGCAATCGGTGAAAACATCTTGCTTCTTTTGGAATCTATTTAAATTCCATACTCAGAACGAAGGGAAAACAAAGCTTTACTCAGAGAGACGGCTTGAAACAACGAAGTTTTGTTTCCCAGCCCAGCTTCGTTACTATGAAAGGCCAAGTATGTAAAAACTGATATGACACGTAGAAGGGTACAAAGTACACTGTCGCTTTTAACTACTCTGCACAAGGGAGGCATGACTAGGGGTATTGTCCCTTCTCTCCTTCCCGTCTCTGAAATCAGTGGGCTCAACGCTGAGGGGCTTATGCCGCAGGTGCAAGAGGCTAGAATCACAGGTGCAGCTTGCAAGTCCTTTTTCCCCCAACCTAAGGTCAAATGGTTAGCTTGCTTTGCACACAAATAGAGCTCTTCTTAATTTCTCTAGCACAACCTTAATTTGATATGCAGCAATTACACAAGGAATGGTGCCGACAAGAAGGCAGTTTTATTGTACTTGGGGAGGGAGGGAACATTTCATTCAGGAGGGGGGGGGAAAGGCTTTGACATTCAGTAAGCAACACTGCCACCTAGTGGAATGGTGACACACCACCAAGCCTTCCAAGACCAGATAAGAAACGTGAGCGGATTTGCTGGTTTTCAATTTTCACCAAGAAAACACCACTTTTGATAAGCTGGCCTTCAGAGAGCCTCAGATTTTGAGAAACGATTTTTATCTTTGAAATGCATACATGTATGTGTTTTCTCTGCTTTTTTTGGGGGGGGGGTAAAGAATGAGTTTTGGGTTTGTTTCTAACAGACCGTCAAATTCCCCATTTCAAAGTTAGCGACTCATCGTTAGGACCGTTGATAAAGAAGCAAAACTCAACTGTACAAGAACTCCATTAAGTCTACACATTTCCTCCTATTTTTACAATCTAGGGTGCTAAGTACTTGCAGTTCACTGATTTGAATTCCTGGAAAAAAACGTGTTGAGGAGACCCAAGATGGTGGAGTCCACCCTGTGCCCGCTTCCTTCCATGAACACATTGAAATTACAAGTAAATTATAGAACTAGCCACCTGGAGGACCCCCTGAAGCCTCGCTGGACAGATGCTCTATAACTGAGGAGAGGAGGCAGCAGCCACGACGCCGAGGCTGGAAGGAGGGCGGAGACGCGGACCGGGCCCCTCACGGCGCGAGGCGGCCGAGAACCAGCAGGACTATGTCGGCCGCGGAGGTTCCACCAGAGGCGCGAAGGACCCCAGCCCCGCACCAGGCGCCCCAGCCCGGAGTACTGGTGCCGGGAAGAGGAGCCCCCACAACATGTGGCTGTGAAAAAAAGTGGGGATTCTGACCAACCGGGCGGGACGGAGGCGGCGGGGAACCCAGGCGGCCTTTTAAACGGGCCGGCGCACAGACTCGCTCACTCGCAGCCACTCACCTGGGGCTCCGGCGGGGACACGGTGACTCGGGGGTGTCAGAGGCATATGGGGGTCAGACGGAGGTGTGTGGCTTCCAGGCGAAGGCTGGAGGACAGTCACCGTTTTCCCTGTGAAGAGTCCTCCTGAGCAGCAGCGCAGCCGGCGAGCGGGCGCCATCTTTCCTGTGTTGAGCCCGCCCCCTATGACCAAATCTGCATCTGATTGGTCTGGTGAGCTCTGCAGCTCCACCCCCCGACTCACTGGGACCCCGCTTCACCCAACCCCCTCAATCCAGGAGGCACTTTCTCACCGACAGCCAGCCCCTCCCGCATTGCACTCTTCTTGGAATACGGTCCGAGTCCGTGGGCCCCAGGTGGGCTGCGACTGGCCTCCGTGTGCTCTGAGACTTTTGCTGAGTGGAGCCTTTTGCAGTCTGAAGCCTTCCTTTACCACATATTCAAGTGGACTCCCATCTTTCACGCAATGCTTTTCGGGCATCCTTGAAGCCAACGCAATAAAAGGCGCTGGGGGAGCCTTATATGAACTCAAACATGATGCCAAAGTCATCTCCAAAAAAGTTTATTAGCATGATTAAAAACATTTTCTTGAATAATGACAGAAAGGATTTCTAAACATGAAAGAGTATCAATGGCTATACCTTATAACCAATATTTGCAACTGAATGGACACCTTTATGCCAGCCTTCATTTTATTAAAAACGATCCATATTTGTGGGTTCCTTGTGAAGTATGACTATTGCTTTGACTGGGAATGAGTCCCCACTGCAATTAAGTATAAAAAATATCTTCCATAATTGGAGTGAGACCTGCATTACTGAGTAAGAGTTGATAAAAATCCTCCAAGAGTTGGGTTTTTGTTTTTTAAAAACATTCCTTTTACACACTACAAAGAAATCATTAGTATTTTGGCTTTTTTAATTCCTACATGGTATTTGGAACGGCAGTCCCCAAAGGTCCTCCCTCCACGTAATTGAGAATGCAGACCCTCTCCCGAAGGCCCCCCCGGAGGCCCTGAGGACGCCAGCCCCCGCAGGCTCATACTGGTTTGAGCACAAAGACGGCGTCGTCCAGCACGTAGTAGTCGTTGTACATGTCCCCCTCACACAGGTACGGCAGTCTGGTGAAGGCCTCAATAACAAAGCCGGCTTTTTGGAACACTTCGGGCAGGCTGTTCACTTGCTCTTCCCAGTTCTGTCCTTTTATTTCCAAAATTTCTGATGGTTTCTCCCACTTGCCACCTACTAAAACAAATACAAACATTAAGTTAAATTCTTGAACAAACAAGTTATTTAAAGAGAGGAGGGGGCAGAACAGTGTGCCAAGTCTGGCAGCCTTGTCAGCTCATCGTCCGGCTCCCCGAGGCAGGCAGATGGCGGTAAGGGACAGGCTCAGCGGGGCCGATGAGTGTCAGAGCAGGAAGGTAATCTCAGGATTCTCTGGACCCAAAGTCCACACTGTTACCTTCTCTGACAGTTTCGGACATCACTCTCCCTTGGACGGCCCGCGGTGTAATGGTTAACGGGGCTGGAAAACTGCTCATTAAATAATATGGACTACTGAAGCAGGGAGTAACACATGATATTTGAAAAAGGGTTTTGGATAAATGCAAGAAAATACCATTGATGTAGTAAACTTATGCAATGCACTGACCAGAGGTTAATTAACCTCTCTAAAGGCTGAAAATAAAACCAGGCTAGAAGGATTTTAATTTCTAAAAACAGATCATCAGTGTGTTTTTCAAGGGAAGGTGATCCACTCGCAAACTTTTCAGAGCAATTTCATAGAAGTTACGCCTCAGACCAGAGACAGGCAGAACACTAACATGGATGAGTCAACCCAGCGTTTCTTCCAACAGTCATTTCCACACCTATGAACATCAGATGCAGGGGTGGGGGTGGGGTGGGGGTTAAGGTCTTCAAGTTTACATACACACCAAGCACTGACTACAGGGAGACACCCATACGCACACCAAGATAACGGTACATAGATTTGGGGTTCATATAAATTTAGATACTATGGTGATGTAAAATACATAGATATAATTAAAAGTGTTACTAAACTCAGACTGGGAATAGCTTCTGTAAATGATAAAATATACAATCGACAGGCGTCAAGAGTGCAAGCACCGTGGTGGAAAGCTGTCTTGCTCTTTCCAGTGGCCCAGCACCTGGCCCCTCTCCTGGAGTCTTGGTGGCAAAGCCTGGGGAAGCAGCTTTTCTGCCTTCCCTTCAGCTAAGGCACCAGCACATGACCTGAGCTCAGACCTGTCACCTGAGTCCTGGGAGTGAGGGACCCAGAGAAGAGGGAACAGGAGGCTCCGTCTCCAAGGGGTGAGGGGGAGTAGTGATGGTGAGACCGAGGAGCCGGGGCAACACGAGCTGTACTAATGCCAGAGTGTGCCCACGCCAAGGCATGTGGTGTTTGATGGCAGCAGTGTGGGCTTTGGATCAGTTTGACAGCGTGACCTGGGGCGTTCTTCTTGGCTGCAGCCCCCCAACCACAATTCTCCAGTCCTCCCAGTGACTCTGTGAGCCTTCCCCCAACCCTTTCAATAAAGCCCCTTTTGCTTAAGTCAGTGGAGTCAGTTTCTGCTGCTTACAAAGAAGAGCCTCTGAGAGTGAGGGGAGCGGGGGTTGGGGCAAGTCGGGGTTGACAGAGGTGCCGCCCATCTGCTTCACGGCACTTTGAAATGGGGTCCCGCAAAGCTGGGTAAGAGTTAGTGGCACACAGCTTGTTTCTTCATTGCTCCACGATGTTCCCTGTTTGCTCATCTGTCTCTCCATGAAGACGCCTCCCGCTGCCCCCCGACTTCCCACAGGTGCCTGCCCTGCACTAAGCATACGGGAGTCCAGGACCAGCCCACGACCGGTGACAGAACAGCGCTGGGACTTTAGACCAAGAATGATGCGTGGAACAGCTCTCCTTCCTGGGCATGTGCTACACGCGAACCGAAACCTCACTCAAATCACCTAATGCCTGTGAGCATTTGTAAAACGCAAGAAAAATTTATCATATGAACATTTAGAAATGCGCTCTAGGTTAAAAATCTCAACTTCACATGGTGAAACGGGGGTTACAAAAAACTTTACACAATTTCAAAAAGTTCCCAATTATGGTTCCTTAATAAGAGTTCCTCTCTTCAGTTCTTCCTTTCTAAAAAGAGAAAGGAAAAAAAAACAAACGCCGACCGACTCTCTTCAAATACACACTGCCCTGGTGCGTGCGCACACCAGAGATGGAGGCTGTGGGTGCAGGCAGGATCGTTCTGGGTCTGGAAGTCATCCGGCTTCTCTTTTGTGTCGGTAAGCTTCTTCTGTTTCTCCTCCATTTTATTTAAATCAATTGCTATTTTTTGTCTGATGTGTTTATATGTTAAATACTAATTCCACAGAGAAGAACTATCATCTATTTTTTAAATTCTGCCTTCTCCTGTTTTTCACCCAGGAGAGAGAAAGTGTTTCCTACGTCTCAGTTCTAATAATCTCGCCATAGTTCTAATAAATCTAATAATCTCAGGTTTGCCCACGAAATTTGAGTCGTAGGACAGTGAAGGGGACAAAAAGCTCTGACAATTTTTTTCTCATCTGTAAAGAAACATAGCAAAATATTAACAGTGGTTTATTTTAGGCCAAAGGACTTTGGGTGATTTCTTGCGTCTACGTTCAGGAATAGTCTATTTCTTTTTCTAGTAAGTACATATTACTTTTACAAACTTGTAACTAGTGTTATTTTTAAAAAGAATCCTGATCTTTTAAAGATCTGTCAGGGATAAGATGAGTGGGATCTGCCCTAACCTGACGTAGGGGTGAAGCAGCAGCTGGGGAAAGACACCGGCCGGGGGCTCTCTGTGCTGCCCGCTAACGTTTGAAATGGACCATGAGAGGCTTTTGTTAAGTGTCAAAATTTAGTTTTCCACTTATTTTCCAGTTTGCTTTTTAAAAACAGTAAAGTGATCTTTTCTTATTCCCTCCACCAAGGAGATAAACTTTCAACCTTACAGAAGGTACTGTGTTTTTCTAAAAACTCCTACAGAGAATGAGAGTTCTTAAAGAGGCATTTTCCACAGGAACAGGCTGTCTGTGGTGGGACATGTTATCCAAACTTCTCTTTTTTGCTGAGAGGTTGCTCCACTGGTGCAGGGGAGAAACAGAAGTTTCCTCACAAGTCTGTGCTCTCACAGGAAACTGCTACAACTGGTTTGCTCCCGCTCAGACAGGGGACTTCGGGGAAGTGGAAAGTAGGTGGGGATATCAAACTGCCAGGTTGCTAAGGACTTTACCCGGGGCCATTAGTTCTCCAAGGAAAGTGTGAAACATCAGCTCCAGGCTAAGAACTCCAGGGGACGGAGGACCTGAAATTGAGCCACTGTTGGTTAGCTCTGTGACACTGTGACAGACCCAATGCCAATTCAAATTTCCGAGATCCCGTGGTCATTACACACGGTTGAGAGTTTCTCTGTGCCGTGAAGGTGACAGTCTGGGCAGGGGATGTGGGGTGGAACCACGATACAGGAGTGAAGCCAGTTCCCTTGGCTGGTCTTCTCCGGTCACTAGGGAGCTCCCAGCTCCTCTCGAATCGTACAAATGCTCAAATTACGACGTGGTGAGAACAGATGTGCCTCACAGGACTTGTAAGAAAAACGTACCGTGAAGAAAGCCCTTCTGAAACTTCAGCACCAGGCCACGTGGATTATTTTCTGATCCCACTGAGAGCAAAGGGCAGACTCGGACAGATGGGACCATCTGGAAACACTGCTGGGCAGAAGTCAGGCTAAAAACTGGCAAAAAATTCCAATTTGTCTCAACCAATACAATTCTACATAGGGCTGCCCAAAAGGGTTTACTTAGGGCAGGACTTCCATCTGTAAACACCTGAGAGGCTTTCCAGCTTCACATGCCTGGGGTTAGAAGGTCAAGTTGGGAGTCAACCTGCATACTTGGGAGGCAGCCCGTGGTGGGGAGGCACTGGCCTGGGTGTCCAGTCCCAGGCCTACTAACACCTTGCTGTGACGTCCACAATTATTTCTAAAATGCACGTAAGACAGCGGAAACAGAAGTGGCGGCAGGAATAACTACCTTTTCTTAAATACTTCCTACCGGGTAGGCAAGTAAATGCCCCTTAAGCATCACTGGTCTTAAATGCCCCACTAACCCGAGGCGGAGAACACCACCCCCGTTCTGCTGATGAGGAAACCGAGACGGCACACAGACCAGAGCAGGCAGAGCTAGGGGCCCACCCCATGCCCGCGCCCTGTATCACAGTGGTGTTCTCAGAGATAAAAGCTGCAAGAGACTGCAAAGCAGTGACGAAGTGCCAGGGAGACGTGGAGCTCGCGCGGCGGGGGCGTGGCTAGCCCGCCGGGCGGCTGCTCAGTCACCAAGCCCGCTATCCCCCAGGTGCACATCTTGCCTTTCGTCTCCCATGGGGACACCAGACTCACAGGAAACAAGCGAATCACTGAGAAGTCAAGCAGTCCCAACCCCACGAGGTCAGAAGCGTGGATCCCCTGCTGCCTGGTGGCTGGGTCACGGGGCACATGGCCAGGAGGGGCCCTGACCCCCGTCCCCCACTGACCACAGCAGTCGTGTGAGGCCGGGGCACAGATGGGGAGACAGGCTCTGTGCCACGGCGGGGGTGAACACGGGACCCCAAGCCTCTGCTCGCAAGGCTGATCCACTGTCACCTCTCTGGGGCTGTCCCCAAGGAGCCAGGAGGTTAAGGGCGGGGGACACAGGGAACCAGGAAAAGGGAGGGCCCCTGGTGTCCTATTCTCAGTCTTGTTCGCGTGGGGAGTAAGAACAATTTGGGGTTCCCTAGCCCACAGATGTCAGGGAGGCGAACAGTCCACTAACCATGCCGTCTCCTCCCGCAGGTGTTGCCGGCGACTGTGCCATATCTGTCTCCCAACCGGCCACCCTGGAAGTGGACAGTGCCGAAGGGGCCGTGACCCTGCTGTGCTCCTTCACCACAACGGGGTGCCCGTCCGAGCCGCCAACCATACTGTGGTTTCGCCTCGGTGCCCAGCGGCCAGAGCGGCTCTGCGTGAGCAGCCAGTGCACGAGCAAGGCAGACGAGTTCACCAAGACGGAGGACCTGGCACAGAGCCAGGCCTTGCTCACGGTGAACAGGGTGACGCCCAATGACAGCGCCATCTACATCTGCGGAGTAGCCTCGCCCAGTGCCTGGGAGCCGAGGGCTAAGCAAACCGGGGCAGGGACAATGCTGGTGGTGAGAGGTCCGTGGCGGCGGCTGGTTCCGGTCCCCGCATTTCGCTCAGGCCTGCGAACGCGTCCCACGCTTACACGCGGGTTACGAGGGAGCGCTGCTGACCAACACCCTGGCCAGTGGGGGCCGTGACCTGAGACAGGCGGCCATGCAGTGTGGCTAAGGAGCCACTGTCACCGCCTCTCCCAGTCTCCACCCACGCAGGGCTATGTTGGGGGCTCTTCTCTGACCCGTCCAGGCCTCACCCGTGAGGGCGACCACTGGGTGCTCCTGTCTGCCTACTGTGGTGACCAGTGTACGTGCCGAGGCCAAAGGGAAGTGTATGACGGGAACGCTCAGCTCCCACAGGACCTGGCCCGGTGGCACCACCCAGGACAGAGCACTAGAGGAGATAAGTGATCACTAAATCAGACGCAGGAAAAATAGGTGTCATGGAGAATAAATACAGATGTGGGGAGAGGCCCCTGGCCCTGCCATTCTGTGTGGGCAGAACAGGCGGATCCGAGTGGCTCTGGCTCCTCGGTCTTTGTTACAACCCATGACAAGTTCCTCATTCAACCTAGCTAAGTCCTACAAATTAAGCAATTTCAGAAAGAAGTTTCACATGATTCTGGGGGAAGGAAGGGATGGGCAGTAACTCCTAGACTTTTTTTTTAATCTTTTCCCTTAAAAAGGACTCTGGTATGATGAGCGCTGAGCTCATTAAAACGGGAACTCAAAATCGGTCAGCACTATGGTGTTAAAATAGGGCTTTGAGGACCAGCATTCTCCTGTGTTATCATCCCTGCTTTGAATCGCTAGGGGCATTCTCATGGGCTTTGGATATTCCACTGCCATTTAGCCGTAGTTATTCTCACCTGTAAGGATAAATTACAAATGAGTTACTACACACAGCGCACTTTTACTGGTACCTGGCTTATATCCAGTACTCGATAAATGCTGGCTATAGACAAACACACAGCAGCTGTGGAGATCTGTGTATCTCACTGAATTAGCCTCCTATAAAACTGTCAGCCAAAAGAAAAATGGTTTGAAAGAGACACAGGTCTCAAAATTGCAAGCTTCTGTGAAGAGAGACGCCTCCTTAGGAGCAGAAATGAAAGTATCATAATGTGGACACAGCGATTTTTCTGCCTTTCCTATAGAACTCCTAATTTAGCACTTGAAACATTTTTAAACGTTTTACAGATAGGGTTAATTTGTCAGTTTCACAACAAAAACCTATGTTGTATAGACTGAGTTCACTTGATGAGCACCTATGGGATATTTAGTTGAAAACTACAGGTTATTTAGATAATAACTACAATTGAATTGTATTTTGTACTTCAAATAACCAGGTGCTTGAAGACATAGCATGTGACTCCGTCTGTCCCTACGGAGTCACAGGCCACTTCCTGTGAGGAGGGAAAATTCAGAATGTGAGAATGCACTTGATCATTGTGCTTCCCAAGGCTTCCTGAGAAGGGGGGAGGGGGGAGCACACGTAACAGCGCCTGTCTTTTAAGCATGTGGGGGGACCCAGATCCTGCCACAGATTGCACTGGTCAGCTTTGTGTGCGGAACAGTCCGAGGTCACAAATGTCAGCAGTGACACCAGGGCAAACAGCTTCACTCCATACATGGACTCTTGGTGACAGCTGCACATTTCTGCCAAGAGAAATTTTAAACGCCCTTGAATAAACTGTCTTGAAGTGGTTACCTATCTTTAGGTAGCACTTTGCAATATTTTCGGTATAATACATCTAAAGAGTTGATGAACTGGCTTTAACTATATCATATACTTGGGTGTCTTTCGAATCAAGGTACTCTGAATACATTTTTATATAAACGGTCAAACAGGGTTCAGTTCCTGTTTCACCTTAAACACATAGCTTTGGCTGTATTTCATACACATATGTGCAGTAATAGGTTTCAGTAGTGACTGAGGCTCTTTCTGTTTTTGTGATTAACCCAGAAACAAAGGGTGTCAGCTCAGGATCGCGGAGTCTCCTGATAGCTCTCCTGTCGCTGCTCTCCATCTACGTTGCGGGGGTACTCGTGGCCTTAGTGGTTCTCTCCAAAGTAAGTCAAACTGCCTTGCACTGGATGTCCCTATAACCTTGAATATTGTCACAGGAAGTCACTGCCACCTCTCCACACGTGAGCCTCAGAAATAGCTCACCCAGTTAATACCTTTCTGAGCACCTGCAGGAGAGGTCTGGAGAAGAAAGTGTACATTTCATCGCTGAGATTATTGACCAGAGTACACAAATTACAGTGTCTTCTCTTTAAAAGCCAGTGGCATGGGAATAAGAGGGCCTTCTTTGTAACCATGTTATCTGCTATCTTTCTGCTGGGGGAGGGTAGTAACTGTTATTTATGAAAGGTTTAAGAATGAGCAAAAAGGGGTTAACAAAGAGATGAGAAGCTAGCCGAAAATATTTTTAAAAGGCCTACAGTGTTTGAGAAAGACCATCTCCTGGCCCATTGCCAGACATGGGGGTCTGCGTGTATTCAGTTATGATTACTGTAAACTCAACAATCAACATCAGTTATTTATATTATATCATATATGATGATATATTGTATTATAAAAGCATCTCAGAAATGACACGAAAATGACTAGCTCTTGTACATCATTTAAATAGCAAGTTAACTTGACTTTCCTTTTCTTCTTGACAGCCAAAATCTAACACTCTAAGAAAACCAGAAACAGAGGGTCCACAAAAGGTACAGACCAATACTTGTAAAACATATTTTACATTGTGGCTGGTTGTAACTATTTCAAATTTGAAACATTTTAAGAAGCACGGTAACTTTCAGCCACAGCTACTGTTTCTAATTGTTGAGACTACCCAATGATAATCTCAGGTGGTAAACTGTGACTTAAACATGATAGTTCCTAGCCACAAATTGTACATAATATACTCAAAATATCCATTACTGGTAGGTATACATGTGCTGGGGGAGTGGGGAGTTTCTGGGAGGTGGCAGCAAAGGGAGAAAAAGCTCTGATGGTGTCCAACAATCACCGCTTCTAGTCCCAAAAGAGACCTTTTTCTTCTCATTTGTATTTACAGAAGAGTGCTCGGCATATTTTTCGGGAAATTGCCCAAGAACTATATAATAAGAGACACGTGGGAACAAGCCAACAATCTGTAAGTGTAAAATATCACAAAGATTTCATGCAGATATAAAGCATGTTTGACTAAACAAACTAAGCTGCCAACAGGCTGTCCATAATTGCGGCTTCCTTCAGAAAAGCCTGAGAGAGGGCTTTCTCATATATGCATTCTGATATAGAACCTGTTTTGGTAAATACGTAACAAAGGGCATCCGATACATTAGTCGTAAAGCGACCAGGCTGGCACCTTAGTGACATGGATGCACACTGGATGCAGGCAGTGCTCCTTTTACCGACAAGGATGCTTTGGTGGGTTAAAAGCTACTTTGCACAGCATCTTACATGCAGCAGGAGGCACTGAGTAAATGTGGCAAACACGTGGGGATCGAATTATACAGTGAACATTACACACTGCTAAGGCAGGAATAAATTCACATCAGAAAAGATGCAGCTAATACAAACAGAAGTTGGGTATTTCTCCAGTCCTTGGGGCTGGAGCGGAAGCAAGAATACACCCATCTATGTTAACTACACGACATTCTGACAATGTCTCTTTAAAGTCCTGCATACACAGGTTTTTCAAACAAGACACTATTTTAGGGCAGGCACAGTAGATATTCAAGTTTCCATGATGCACAATCAGACTGCTCAGATTTGAATTAAAATGTATACAAAAGCACACACTCAGGTGCTGAGGGTATTTTGCTCCTGAACAGCAGTCTTGTAAGAAGGCAAATGTAACAGGTTTCTGATAAGAGGTGTGTTTTTTCAGACCCAACTTTTAGAAAGTATTTTCATCTAGAAGGGCATGTCACCCAAGTAGTCACTTCATTCTTCAAAGCGTATAGAAATACACACACAAGTGCTCTAACCACCTCAGACGCTGCTCTGAAGGATTACAAATGCCTGTCCACACTCTTCTTAGTGAGGCTGGGGAATCGTTTTCTGCGAAGGGGCAAAGGTGAGTGGCCCGAAGACGGGCCCGGGAGGAAGAATTGTAACCTGTTCTGAGGCTGGGCTTTGACAACGGCAACAGAACAAGAAAACTGATTTTCAGTTTCCACCTCTTACACTGAACTTGGGCAAAATGGCAGCTTGACCTTTAAGGTTGCCGGGAGGTACTCAGGGCCCAGAATGCAGGATGGCATCGTAGTCTGTATGCTGCCCATGGCGCGACATCATTGGCTGTGCAACCCTAAACATGGCTCGTTATTTGCTATTGCAGGAGAAAGACAACACTTACGAAAACAGAAGGGTACGTTACAACTATGAAAGACCATAACAGTGTTTTCACTGTCAAGTAAGTCACTGAAAATCCAGACATTACAGCAGTGTGAATGGACACACCCCCATCAGGGCTTGAAAAACAACTGAAGGTAACTGGAAAAGAATCGGCGAAAGGAGGCGTGTCTGAGTACAAGGCAACTACAACCAACGCTGATGACCGAGCTGCCAAAACCCAGCAAAACACAGCGGAAAAATAATTCCTTCACTGGCTAAAAGACTTCTAAGCAGGCTCATATTTTCCAAAGCCTCCATTTTTATAACGTGCATCCTATGATTCACTCAACACGCAGGCTACGTGATGACTGGTACCCACAAGAGTCAAAGTCATACCACATGCCTCCATGTTGAGTGGAAGAAGTGTCTTTATGGTTGTGGAAGTGATGGGTCAATTAGACTGAGTTGGGAGGGAGGGAAGCCCCGCTGTCTGAGCTAGAGGACACCCTCCTGCTAAGCACCTTGGAGCAAAGCCCGTCCCCCCTGGTGTGACACGGGCTGGGGGATGGCGCACACTTCCTTCCAGGGCACGCAAAGTAACTCACGTGTCGCTACCAACCCAAAGCGAGAACAGGGTAAGAACATCGCAGCTAAAACGCAGACACGCCAGGGCAGGCAGCTGCACAGAGAAAACCGCAGCATCAATAAGCCCAGTCGACTCTAGGGGTCAGTGTGGTGCAGACAAGCCCAGGAGAGCGTGGGCTGCACTGGACCTGAGGTTGCCTCTGCAACATTGTTTTTTATCAACTAAGGAGTGAAATATCCAATTAGGACTGGTACAGCAAGCATGTGCATGGAATTCAGCGCCATCTCGCTGAGAAAACATGTTATGGGTTGTTCTGTGAAAGCTACTTAGGTGTAAAAAGTCTATTTTAAGTACTCACAAGTACGCAATCATTAGTAAACATGAATTACAACCTATTGTTTTCATTTCATTAAAGTGTTTCTTTCAAATAGCATTAAATGAGGTGTATTCTTAGTTTAAAAATCCAGATAGAATTTTAAAATGTTTTAAGATCCCTTTGAAAAGGTTTTGCACTGATGGCTTAAATCCGTGATCTCCAAACTTTCTAGTCACATGTGCCAAGAAAAACGGAAAGGGCGGGGGGGGGGGCTAGAAAGCTTCTGGGTCTCTCTTTCAGTGTGTTGAGTGTGTGTGTGTGTGTGTGTGTGTGTGTGTGTGTGTGTGTGTGTATGCGTGTCCATCTGGTGTATTTATGTGTGTGTTGGGTATAGCGTATGTGTATGCATCTATACGGGTATATACGTGTATCTTAGACACCAAAATAGAAACTAAACACCTGGCATAAAAAGTAATACACAGTTAGCTGGCCCTTGAACAACGCAGGGTTAGGGGTGCCAACTCCCTCTCCTGCTGCGCAGTCAAAAATCCACATAGAACTTCGGACTCTCCCCAAAACTTAACAGCTAATAGCCTACAGTTGACCAGAAAAGCCTTACCAATAACATAAATAGTCGAGTAAGTAACACCTACTTTGTACGTTATGTGTATCATATAGTGAATTCTGATAATAAAGCAAGCTAGAGAAAAGAAAACATTATTAAGAAAGTCATAAGGGAGAGAAAACACATTCAATATATTTACTGGGAAAAATTCACATATACGCGAACCCACGCGGTTCAAGCCCATATTGTTCAAGAGTCAACCGTAATTAGAAATGCTAATATTTTCTTCTTATATCCCAAACTAAATTGCCTTGTGTATTCTTTGGGGTGCACACCCCCACTCTGAAACCATTAGCTTGGATGAAATGAATGAACTAAACCAAATGGCAAAAAAGCATGAGCACTGACGCCCTCCAGGTGGACGGGAGAATGTTGGGTTACGTCATTTCCTTTTCATTTCTGGGGGTCATTCATTTTGGTACTTCCAGGGCTGAAAATTCACCGTTCTTTGTGTAACTAATGGGCAGACAAAATCCCTAAGATAAACTAGCATTTCACTGAAAGTAAGCCTCACCCACTGTAGGCAAGGACTGTGTTTATTGAAGGCTACATATTACACAGCCAAAGGCCCCTGGACGCTGTCCTTGGGCCTCGTGGAGCTGGCCCGGCCAACCCCATCGCCCTCACTCTCTCCTGCCCTCTTGCATAAGCTGTTCCCTTTGCCTGGTCAGTGCTTCACGGACAAACACAGCCCAAATGCCACCTGCTACGTGAAACCTTCTCCAACTGCCCCAGCGGTTCCTGGGTCTCCAAACCCCCCGTCTTTGTCACACGTCTTACCGGACTATCCTGGCACTGCCTGTTTGCATCTAGCACTGCCTGCACCCAGTAGGCACCCCCTGCCTTCACGTGAATGCAGCAGCGCAATGTTTCTGCAGAGAAATCTTTTTCAGCACTTCACCTGAGGTACAAAGCACAGTCGCTCCCCAGCATCGACCTCACACCCTCTCCATGGAGACTGTTTGCTGAATCCCCAATAGTATTAACTGTCCTACTCTCTGAGCACCCAGGATTTTCCCTGGAAAGGGTTAAGCTATAGCTTGCTTAGATTTGTTTCCCATGACAATGCAGAGAGAATAATACTGACAGAATGAAAAGAGGGAAACAAAGATGTGGTTCTTTCTATGGGATTGTCGGAAAAGTCATGATGCATTTTTGCAACGAAAAACAGAGAAAAGTGCGTCATGGCTTTTCTGACAACCGGGCCCTCCAGACAAGAACCCTTAAATCTGCGAACGGGGTTCTTGGAACAAGTCATTTCCTTCTCTCTCCATAGCAGGCTTATGAGAACCCGACCCTCTGGCCAACGGGCATGTGGTTAAATGTCTGTGGAGTCAAGTCACATGACACAATGAAGGACGCAGCTTTAAGGCGAAGTTCAAATGCAGAATGAAGACATCGAAATTGTTAAAAGAGCTTCACAGGCAGATGTAAGGACACTGAAAAAAATTTCAAACTGAAGAGGTGTACACAACTGTGATCAATAAAGCCACAAATAAAACCAAGTAACAGGATAGGATGGGATGAAGGAAAGCTGCCACGTGTCAAACACCAGCGCAGGGAGAGGCTCAGCGGGGCTCTGTTCTACACATCAGATGATCTCGACCTCACGACAAACCTCAAGGTAAGCAGCAGCCCCATTTTTACAGATGAAACTCTCAGCTTAGTGAGAGTTACAGGCAGGAAGGGCGGAGCCAGACTCACAGAGGTCAGTCCACAAAGCCAGGGCTCCTTCCCAAGAGCGGTCCTGCTGACCCTTTAGACTGATGGGCTCTTTCAGACTGACCACCTCTAATTTAACCAGAACGATGACCCTGAAAGAAAGTGAGGAACTTGTCAGAAGCTACCTCTCAAAAAGCACAGAGCCTTGTGGGTGTCACAGGAGAAACCCACTAAACTTTCAAAGAATGGATATCGAAGTGTTCTAAGAGCATAAAAAGAAAAACTTCCAAATTGTTTTTTAACAAAGCCAGCAGAACACTGACACCAAAGCATGATGCAGATAACATCCTCCGAATAAATCAAAGATCAGCTACACTTATCCATAATATTAATGCTAATGTTTTTATTCACAATTTTTGTAAATACAATCGAGTGATGTGTCCCATCTCAACCCAGAACTGCAAGGGTGGCCATATATTAGAAAAGTGTTACCAATTTAATAAGTCAAAGGAAGAAAAAAACGGGATGACTACCTCCATGGATGTTGAATACAGCGGTGAAAAATTCAACAGTGATTCCTGATTTGTTACGTTCTTAATAAAACAGGAATAAAAAAATATGTATCTCAAGTCTAACAACCACAATCTCAAGCCAAAAGATCCATCATATTTAAAGTAGAAGTGTTTTCATTAAAATCAAAAACAAGAAAAAATGTCCACCATTTTTTATTAACATTTCCTGGAATCAACTACCAATTCACTTTGAGAGAAAAAAAAAAGTCTAAAAATGAAAAGAAGTGGCAAAACCATTTGCAGATGTTGTAACTGTGTATCAGGAAAACATAACAGAATCCAGAGAGAAACTATTAGAAACACTAATTCAGGAAGGTAAGACTGCAAAATTGATACAAAAATATCAACTGCTTGTGTACTACACATGATACTCATTCTAAATATGATGGAAGAGCCACTTGCAACAACACTGATGATGAACCCAGAGGACATGCTCAGTGAAGTTAGCCAGACACAGAAAGACAAACACTGTGATCTCAGGTGCGGGATCTAAACAAGTTCAACAGGTAGAACCAGAAGGTAGAACAATGGCTGCCAGGGGCTGGGGTGTGGGGGAAACGGGAAGATGTTAGTCAAACTTCCAGTTATGAGTAAGTTCTGGGGGTGTCATGTACAGCATGGTGACATCTGAGATTTGCTAAAAGTCTTAAGTGTTCTCATCACACCACACGAAAGGTGATGTGAGGTGATGGATGTGTTACTTCACTTGACAGTGCTAATCATTTCACAATGTGTGCCTATATTAAATCATCGCATGGCGGACCTTAAATACATACAATTTCTATTTGTCAATTATACCTCAGTAAAGCTGGGGGAAAAAACAGAAATTTAAAAAATGATAGAAGAAAAAATTCTATTTCTCTCTCTCTCTCTCTCTCTCTCTCTCTCTCTCTCTCTCTCTCTC